CCCTCACAGAAACACCCAGAATGATGTTCAACTCAACAACTGGGCACCATCGCCCAGTCAAGTCAACACAAAAAATCAACCATCCCGGAGGTAGGGAACAACAAAGATGATAAAGGCAGGTCAGGAGGCCCGGGCTCCACTCTGCTTCTGGCCCTCACTCTCTGGGCCTCAGTTTCCATGTCTCAACAGGTGAGACAAGGCCCTGAACCCTTCTATCAGCTGTAAAGGACTCTACAGCTGTGAGCTCCGCTGGTGGTGGTAGTGATTATGACTATTTTAGCTGCTCGGAAAGTTGCCGAGGGCCTGGGCAGGGTGCCCACATGCAGCTGGGGTGAGGGTGGGGTAAAGTAATTGCCAAGTACCTTCCTGGCATGTTGATTTTCGGAGGGGATTTAGGGGCCCTGGTTGTCATTATTTCAGGGCAACGTATCAAAAAAAAAAGTGCCCACAGCCTCATCATAAGCACTTATTCCACAGGGAAGTTGTTTGCAAAACACAACAGACATCAATTGTTCATAGAGCTGTAAATCTTCTAAGCCTGCCTTCCCTTCCTGGGGACTAAGGCACTTGATTTGGTTGTCCAGGAGCTCAGAAATTTCCAAATAGATAACAGAATCCCAGAGTCCATTAAGCAAGGTAATTTACAATAGTGGCAGGCCAAATTCAGGGAAATGCATTAGAGCAGCTTCCCATTTGGCTGGTAGAAAAGACATTATTCTAAGCACACACCTAATGCATGCTGTTAGGTGACAATGAGGACATCGGTTAGCTCGCCTAACGAGTATGTTTATCCCCCTCACCACGCAGTGCATTCATTTTGAGTGAAACTTGTACCACCAGATAAGTCTCAAAGCCCTGACGTAGACACCTGGGACCTCATTTCCAACCCATTAAATAGGCAACCGACCCATTAAACTGGACATTGTAACAAGGAGAAGTGAGGCGACGGGTAGAGGGAAGCAGCTTCATGCAGAGCTCTGACTCAGACCTTAAGCTATCCCTTGTCAAAGGTGTGAAATAAAGAAGCAGTTTCTAACTTTGTACTGCAAGAAGCTTCCAGAGGTCCTGGGGAGAGACTGGGGGAAGGAATTAAACACAAAATGATATTGGTGAATTGCTCTTTTCTTTTTTTTCATGTTTAAAATGACAACCAAAGGTTTGGCTCTGTTCTCTGCTGCTCTGTCCAGGTTGCCCTCTCATCACCCCTGGAGTGGACTGCATCTCCAGGTATCATCAAGACAGGAGGCTCCCCACAGGGAAATATACACAAAATGTTATGATAAATCACAGAGAAAAAAATGTGACAAAGAGTGTGTATATGTCCTTGACTGACTGAAAAATTGTGCTGAACACTGGAATTTGACACAACATTGTAAAATGATTATAAATCAATAAAAAATGTTAAAAAAAATAAAGTTTT